AAGAGGGTTTTTATATTTTAAAAAATCAGAACTAAAATATAGTATGCTTATAAAGAGGGTGTGATTATATAAGGTGTTATTGTAGAGAGGGTTGACTGTACACATATATAATATATATTTTGTTTACTTTCTCTATTTTTGCAATAAATTTATTTACTTCTTGATCCAATTCAAGAATCTTAAAAATTTTTTGTGATCTTTCATTATATATTAATGATTTTCTATAGAGAATTATTTACTCATGTGAACTAAAAGGTTAATAATTTTAAATATATCATATTTTAATGTGATATTTTCAGTTGCAGTTAACTTATTTTTATTTTTTAAAGTTTTAATACAATTGAGAAATATTTTTTAAAATAATTTCTTTTATATATTTATCTGAAGGTAAAATTTATTTCTGTATATTAGTTAGCATAAAACTGAATAAAATCCAATATTATCTTAATTTACTAGAATTGTCAGCTCTTGAGAAGTATGATTCCTTTGCATGGTGAGTAACAAATAAAGCCTAGTATCCTATATTGCATAAAATAGTAATAAAGTATCTTTCTATTTCAGCCACCTCTATACTATCAGAAAGACTTTTGTCTAATGCTAACAATTTAGTTACTTTTAAAGAACTCACTTATATTCAAGTATCATTAATAAAATTATGTTTTTAAAAAGAAATAGGAAACATATAGACATATTTGAGGTAAAAAATAGTTAATTGAATTGAAAATGAATTTTAAAATTTTAAATTTTTTTGATAAGTTTGTATTGAATAATTTAATATATCTAAATAAATAAAATTTATTATAAAATAAATCATTAATTAAAAAATTTAGTTAAATTTGCTTAAAATTTTGTCTCACAAGATCATTAAAATCACTGTATCACAAATGCATTAAAAATGATTGCATTGTAAAAATTATTATACATAAATTTGGTTTTAATTCAATAAATCAAAATCAAAAATTGAATCGCTAAATCAAATCTTAGAAATGATTAATTAAATCTTTAATCGATTCTTAAGATTTGATTTTTGATTGAATTGATTCTAATTCTTAAGTTTACTATTTTCATCATCTGATGGAATGAAATTTGGTGATCGTAGTCTCTGTAATACTGAACTATCAGGTAAAATGCTATCATTTTTCATATTGTCGACTCGTATTTCTTTTCATTAGGCCCATTCTTATTCTTCATTTTCTTGAGATTGCTTAGATTTATGAAAGAAGATAGATTAATAGATTGTAAATGGCTAGCCAAAAAAAGTTAAGAAACTAACAATGAAATTAAAAATGTTGTATATAGATATACTAATTTCTTATTCTCCAGTATATATGGCTATTTTTCGTTACTTTTGTTTATTATATAATGCTTTTAGGGATTTAGACTATCTATAATTTTGATGATATTTAAAAGAATACAAAAAAATTTTTTGTCTATATCACTAAGCACTTTACCTTTGAAAATTTTGAAGGTGATGATATGAGAGACTTCCTCAGTTAGCCATTTTCTTTTATTCTTTGAAATTCACATTCATTCGTGAATAATGTATAATTCGTAGGATGTAAGACAAAAAGTGTAAAAAAACATAAATAACATCTCACCCTTTCTGCTAGTATTGGCAAATTATAAGATCATTTACTATTTTTTAAATGACCTTTGGTTATTTTAACTTAAAATTTATAATAAAAATAATATCATTTAAGGTCATTTAAGATCATTTAAGGTTATTTCAAGATCATTTGCCAACACTGCTTACTGCTGATTTTATAGGTTCAAATACAAATTTCAGGTTTGAAATTGCACTATTACTCAGTGTATTTACATATCGTTGGATATGTTTTGCTGCTTATTTTTCTTACATTATTTGAAGAATCCCTTTTTCATTTTTGGTTGCAAGCCAATGGTTGTCTATTTCTGTATGTTGATCCTGAGGAAAATATGAAAAAATTCTGTTATTAGAACTATTAAAAAAAATTGTCTATATATTACTAATAGTGTGCTACAAAAAGTCATGATGAACTAACAGCCATCAAAAGGATAACTAACAGCTACCCTTCTAATCATGGATACCTAACAGGCATTTAGAATTTTACTCCTTAGCAAGAGCTAGCAGATCATAATGAACTAACAGCCTATTAAAAGAATAACTAACAGCTACTCCTTCTGTTATAGATGAAGTTGTAATAAAACAACTTTCACTTTATATAGAGATTCTTATCTTACTATAACACCACAGCATCTAAGCATAATGATAAAGACACTTACCTTAATAGTGGCCAATAAATTGTTGGCTTTTCTAATTTTGACATCAGAGTTTGTGTTAGAAATCAATCTGAGACTTTTGGAAAGTTTGTCTGTAGCTTTATCAAAAATACTTTCATTAGTGTATATCCAAGCTTTATGAAATTTTAAGATGTCTCAATCTTTCACATTAGTCACATTAAAATAAGAATACTAAGCCAAAATAAATATAGTCAAAGCTAGTTATAATGAATCTCTTTATAACAAACGCTAGATATAATGAACTTACAATTTTTAAATTTTAATAATAGTTTGTTATAAAAAATGTAATAGTTCATATAAAAAGTATAGTAATTTATATAATAAAAACTTTTTTTAACAGAACTATCAGTTCATTATAAAGAGCATTGACTGTAAATGCAAATTTTATTATTATAGATAATCAGTGATTTTTGACTACGTGATTTGATTAATATACATATTTGCTCATCAATTGAGATTTGATTTTTTATTTCCTTGACACTATTTGCTATTTAGATACTAATAATCTTTTTTTGCATATAGGACAAAGTGACTTTTAGCTGAACTATAGATACAATAGCAATTCAGACTCTTTGAATCAATTTACATTTTCAGAAAAAAATTTTCGATAAAAATGCTTGAAATGGCTAACAAGTTATTTTTTTACACTCTTATATTTCTGATAAATTTCTACAACTACTTTTTTCTATTTATATCTCTAACTATAAGAATTTTATACCTGCTAACTATAAGACTACACTACAAACATCAGATTCTTAAATAATTCATTAGACCCATATCTATAAAATTTTCATATATCTGTCTCACTTCTATTCACACAGATCATATGAATCAATAGAACTTCTCTAAGATGAAGTAAACCTACAACATATATTCAGGAGATTAATGATAACATTTTGTACTAATTCGCTCTAAGGTAAATAAGCAAAAAAATATTCTTATTATTATAGCTTTTATTTCAGATATTTCATCCTGTCTGCCTTGTTTCCAGAAAATTTATTACAAATTTTTTTTGATAGAATTTTTACTGTAATTATAATACTGTGACGGACTTTGAGAATACAGTATGAATTTTTAATACTGCATTAAATTTTGTGATATGTGATTAAAATCACATGAACTGCACTAATGAGACACAATTAATGATCATGATTTTCTCAGCGATCAAATGTGTAAGAAAAAAGATTAATACTTATGCAAAGCAGACAAAAGGATTCACTAACTGGAACATCACCTTTTAATATAATTTGTAAGATCAATTTTAAAATACACTTTTAGAAAAATTATGTTAATATGATTGCATCATAAAAATGAATTAATAAAAAAAGCTATTCTATATATAAAATCATTAAAGAGATATCAGTTTAATTCAAGAAAATTATTAATTTATGTTAGAACTTTCTAAAAAAAAGTTTTATTAATAAATGCGAAAAATAAATATAAAGATCAGGATTTACTTATGATATAGTATATGACATCTATGGTATTTACTACAGACTAATATACATGATTATTTGCTACTAATTTTACTAATCTACCCGCAAGATTACTCATTGATATTTGCTTTTTTAATTATAAATTCTACTAAAAAGAATGGTATCACAAAATATACCATTATTTCCTGACCCCTTTACAAACTACAATTAGCTTTCAATGAATTCAGCTTTATACAAACTTAAAAAATCTGAGATGACAGATATTGGTCTAGACATACACGCTAATCTAAAAATCTAGATTCAACTTTTATTTCTAATAATACAATTGATCTACAATATAAATCAGAGATACATTATTAATAATTATATGAAATTTTGTCAAAACCTTCTAGTATCATATGTAGTATTATTAAACAGCTTAAAATCCTATGCAGTGATAATATGCAAGAGCCTGCTAGACTAGTGTTATTAAATGATACTTGAAAATAAAGGCCTTATGAATACTTAAATGTTTTATAGATCTTTTTATATAAGAAAACTAAACTGATTAATAACACTACGTCAGACCATTTCACATATAAGAAAATTAAACCAATTAACAACACTAGTCATATGATACATTTTTTATAAATCTTTACTAGAAAGATTATTACATGCTAATTTTAAATGAACTGTAAATGAATTTAGAAGTTTTTTTTGTATAAACCACTACATGATTTGAAAAAAAAATAATAAGAAAGTTTATGCTCATATGCGATCTACTTAATAATTATTCTAAACAGTTACTAAAGAGATAATAGAAGTATATTTCTCTAACTGAGGTATAGAATCACAATCAAATTTCTCATCAAAATATACATCATCATATTTAACACATACTAAACTAGAAATGTAAATCATTTTAAAACATATTTATAAAAATTTTTATCTCTATTGTATCAGATATTTTCTATATATCAGATAATTACATTTATTAGATTGTAATTAATTTGGAATATTAGTTTAGCTTTAAACTTAAGAAAAATTAAAGAATTTAATTTTTGATAAACTAACATTTGATAAATATAAAAGAAAATTAATATCATAATAAAAAATTATACCATTAATAAAAGCATGATTTATCAAAGATATTAATTTTATTATCTAATTTAGATCACATATCAAACATAAGTTCATCATTCAGATTCTTATATTTAAGAATTTATGTCTTCATTTTCTTTTAAATACAAGTAATCATTATTTAAATTATCTTATATATATTAGTATGAAAAAAATTTTTATCTAAAGTACACTTATAAAGTAAGTCACTTATACAAAATTATTATTAAAATTTAAAATTCTGGATTAATCTAATTTTATAAAACTTAGGACTTCTATTCTTTATCTAAAGTTATTTCACTAATAATAAGCTTTAATAAGAGATTTCTAGTTCTAGATTTATAATTCTAATTGATACGATAATAATAAAATCTATATGATTTTTTATTTTAAATAAAATATGAATTTTTATTAGTATACTCTCAATATATAATAAATAGTATAATAAAGAGTTACGTATTAATAAAAATAAGTTTAAATTATTATCTGATAGAAATAAAAGAATATATCTTTTAATACAATTATCTCTAAATAATGATTTTATAAAATTAAAATCTATTTAAAATGTTCACTATTTGTATTATTATATTTTTTACTTCTAATATTAAAATATCTAAAAGATGATTTTATATAACTTTAATTTATTATTAAATAGGCAAAGTATAAAATTAAAGACAATTTTATCTTTTAGATATATTTGTACATGTTCTCTAATTTCTTTAATAAACTTAAGTGTTTTAATTATTTATAAAGAAAATGATTATTTGTTTACATATTATCAGAATATTTTTCTTATAATTCTATCAGAAGTTTCTTATAAATATGCTTAGTGAATATTGTAATCTGAGCAATATTTAAAAGTCTTATACCAAAAATTGAGATATAAAGAGATATTTTTTTGCATTATTACTATTAGCAATAGTTATAGTTTTTTTTATTCTAAAAATATTTCAAAATAAATATTTCTAAAAGTATGGTAAAATGTATTTTTAACCTAGTTATTTAAAAGATTGAAAATAATAATATCTAATATATTTTTATTAAATTAAAATTTATAATAAAACAGAGTGACTTATCACTATTAATAAATTTGTGTAAGGAATAACTTTACAATCTGAGAGTATAGCTTATATTCTGTTCTCATTATCAGTATCAAGAAATTATTTTAGTCTAATATGATTATTGCAAATTTTATATGAAAGAATTTCTAGAAAAATCAGATTTCAAGAAATTTTTATTAAAATTAAAAGCTTAATATATTTTAATCTAATAAAATCAAAAACTAAAATGTAATAATAATTTCAATTTTGCTAAAAAAATTTTAGAATCTGATTTTTTTAGTAATTAACACATATAGATATTGATTTATATTTAGTGTTAACCACTTTTATAAGTTCAGTTATTTTTGATTAGACTTAGACTATAAGTCTAATTATAAGTCTAATAGTCCAGTTTTATAAGTTCAGTTAGTTTAATTTGGTTTAATTTCTTAATACTATCTATATCAGAGATTTTAAATCCAAAATTATATAAGGTAGAAATGTCAAAGAATTTTAAAAGATCTGATTAAATAGTCAAAATAAATTGGATAACTTTTTGTAAAAATACTAAATCTATATATAAAAAGTTTAAAATAAAAATTAATTATTAATTATAAAATATTTGATATTAATTATATAGCATAAAAAGAAATTATTTTAAAATGACATTATATTATTATAAGTATATTTTTAGAAGTGAAAAAGTCTATGAGTAAGATAGTTATAAGTATAAAAAGTGTAGTTATTATTAAAAATCTTCCTAATATGTATCATATAAAGAGTATAATAAGTTGATTATTAGAAAAATCAGGTTCTGAAAATTTTTTAGCAATATTGAGATTTTTATTGCATTTTAGTTTTTTGATTTTATTAAATTAAAATGTATTAAGTTTTTAATTTTAGTCAAAAATTTCTCAGAATCTAATTTTTCTAAAAACACACCATATTTTCTATATATAATATATATAAAAAGCATATAAAAAAGTACCAAAATATAAAATATTATTATTAGTAAAAACTTATAAAAATTTAAAATACATTTTAAAAAATCTTTATAATATTCTTTGTGATAAAATTTATAGTTTTATAATGTTAGATCTATTAAATGATTTTTAAAAAGGTATCATTTTATCACAAAGAGTCATTAAGAAAAATTAAACTTTTATATTTTTTATTTTTTATTTTTTATCTGAGTATCATATATTTATTTATATATACTATATATTTATCATATATATACTATAGAATTATTTATATAAAAATTTTGATTTTTTCCTAAAACTTTACTTTTTTTAGTGATTCTTTGTGATAAAGTGACAGATATAAAGAAATACAATCAAGCAGTTCTAAATCTTTGAAAAAATATATAAGAGTATTACAATGAGTATCACAGAAAAAATACTAATAATTTTTTATTATGATAATATAAAATTTATTTTAATTATAGTAAGATAAAGTAATTAATAAAGAAAACTAACAATATTGATATACTTTATTATTGAAGATATGTAAAAAAATAATTATTTTAAAATGTATATTATAATAATAGAATCTGAAAATTATTAAGACAGCATAAAACTAAATTGCAAATTGAACTCACATCAACTTGTAAGATTTTAAATATGCAATTAAAAATAGATTTATTAAAAAAATACATTAGTGAATTGAAAAATGAAAATGCTAGACTTAAAGATATAATTAGTGATCAGAGTATTAAAAAGTAGAATAATTTAATTCCTTTAGAACCTTTTAATATAAATTTAATTTATTCTAATACTAATTGATTTACATATAATTAATTATATTTTATCATAGTCAAATAATATAATTTACAAATAAATATGTTATATTACTTTATATTAAGAATATCTTACTTAATATAATAAGAATAAAAAAGATGTATTTGATAGTAATAATTTTAGTAAAAAATTTTATAAATAAATAATAATCATAAATAGATATGAGTAAATAATAATAAAAAAGAATAATAATATATTTTAGACTGATCTAAAATTATAAATAAGATATATAGTTTAAATGTATATTGAGAATTATATAAAATAGTTTTGATCTTTAATTTTATATTAATTTATTTTTTTTTGCAATTTTTCTTAATATCTATTACTTAAATTTCTTAGTAGAATATTTTTTATGAATGTCAAAGTTTAATCATTTACTTTATTTATAGTTGATAATAAGTTATTAGAAAACTTCTCCTTTACTCTTTCTGTATATATCCTATTTTTTAAAATAAAATAAGCAAAATATTGGTAATAGTTTTTCTCTTATGTGATACTTTCAAATTTTCAAAAAATTTGTTATCAATGCTAATAGATTTTATATTATGTGATAAGTTTGAATTTACTACATAGTCTGATTTTTTTTACACTAACTTAATATTCTAAAAAATAACTAAATCAACATAAAAAGGTAATTCTTATATTAAATTTTAATACTTTACTTGACAACTAAGCTGACACAGAAGGTTAATACTCTTAGTATAAAACTTAATATCTAAACAGGATCAGAAAGCTAACTTCTTCACTAAAAAATTTAATAACTAGTTAAATTAAAAAATAAGTGGTAATTAGATTATAAGACAGTTATAACTAGATAGCAGTTTACTTATAAATAGTAGAAAAGATTTAAAAAAATAACTAAAACATAAAAAAGATAATCAATAAAAAGAAAAAATAGGTTATAAAGTAGCATTCAGATTATATCTAATAAATTATAGAGTGGTAGTCAGATTATAGATATTAGATTATAAAGTGATATTTAAATTATAAAGTGACAAATAGATTATAATATAATAATCAGATTATAGAGTAGTAATCAGAGTATAGAGCAGTAATAAGATTATAGAATGGTAATTAGATTATGATTAAATAATTAAATTATATAGTACTAATTAGATTTTAAAATAATAATTAGATTATAAAATAATATTATAAATAGTATATCATTCTTTAATATAATTATATTAAAGAATAATTTACCACTATTATTAATAATTATAAAATAAATGCAAATGTTTGCTTTTTTAACTCTAGAATTTAATACTATAGATTTAATTAAAATTTTTTTCCAATTATCACTTAAATATTTACTGTATTTTATATTTTATATGATTTATTTTTTAATATTAATACTATAAATAATTAAGTTAAAAATATTTTAATAAAAATATATAAAATTTATATTGCTTTTTTATAAAACTGGAAAAGTGAAATTTATATCCTCATTTATTAAATTGTTTAATAATAAAATTTTATTGTATGATATAATAATTAGAATTATTTAATGAACAAATGATACTAGTACTTTATACATGTATTTGGCTCTGTTATAAATGTTGAAATTTAATAATTTTTAATTTTTATTAACAACTGTAATATAACATATATCATGATAATCATAAATATCCTTTTTGATATTTTACTTACTTTTAAGTTTAATTTATTATATTTTTTCTAATAAAAATTTATTATTTTATTTATTATTTTATTTATTTTTATCCATTTATAAATTGTAAGAAATACAAACAGTGAATTAAATTATTATTATGATTAAATTCTAAGTTAAAGTTAAAATTTAAATTAACTAATTAAAGAATTAAATATGTGTAGAAATTAACATAATAATAAATATAAATTTGATAAAAACAATAATTGGAAATTAATAAATCGAATCAAATAATGCCAGTAATCACATGATTTATTTTACTGGCAACGTATTTAACGATCACATGACATATACGGTCAATCATACAAACATTAGATCGAGACACACGAAACGTAAGAAGAAAACGTAAGAAGAAAACGGGAAGAAAAACGGAATACGAAAAATTTATAACGACGAATTTAATTTAATTTAACGACGATTTAACGGACGATTCATTTATGAATTAAATAATTTGACGATTTTAACGATTTTTGCCATTTTCAGATTTTGTCAATTCATCGATTTGCCCTAAGTAGGAAAGGGAGAAAATAAGGAATGCAAAGAGAGGGCTATTGGAACGAACATCCCCAAATCAACTGAGTTAATGAGCTGGTAGTATCCTGTGGAGAGGTAAATGCGTTGTCTCCTAGGAACAACTGGGCCCCGAAGTTGGTCACATTTTGAGTTTGCAGAGGCATATGTGCGATCCTATTCAAAGTATCAAGGTTCGAGTGTTTTGAAAAACAATTCAACAAAATTCTTTTTCTTCGTTTCTCATTAATCTTGGCTTTAAAACCACGTGATTTTTTTTTGTTGTTTGGGGAATTAACAATATCGATTTTTCTATTAGATATCATGATATCGATATTATTATTCGCATTTATTTGATAAAAACCGTGGGGCTTTTATACTTTTCACCATCAGTTATTAGCTCGGCTCGGCCGTTGGATTTGTGAGATCGAAATTTCCAAATCATAATTTATTTATTTATTTATTTTTCTACGTCTTTTTTCTAAGATCGGCGACACGATCAAAATTATACAATGAAAAAAAGCTAGACCCGGGTATTACAGTTTTCTTTCGAACATTATTAACGTTACCTCATTACCGTTCCAGAATAAACGGTTCTTCTAAAATCTTGGCATCATATGATCAATACAATTGATCTATGTCGAAGGTTTATAATTGCACAAAAACCTTTCATGTAAAACCTATATATAAATATATTATATATATTTAGTTTTTATGATTTTTGGCCCCGGGGCAGTGCAAAATTTTTAGATTCTTACGACAGGAAATTTGACATGGAAAGGCTAATACATATATGATAAATCTAAGACCGATAAAGGAAGAACTACTGTGATAAACCATTTTCCAAAAAGGGATGTCGACCAAAAATATCACTGCCAATCGTTTCCAAAAATAGATTTTTCAATTTTTATTTTTTAGGTAAATTTAAGTTTTACAAAATAAAAGTTAAAATATGACATTTAAACCTACATTTTCCTCGATAATATAAAATTTTTAAAAATTTTCAGCTAAATTAATCTACCCATTTGTAGATATGATCAGCAAGTCTATAAGTAAATCGATAGCAAGCCCATCAATACTAATTTAGGAATTGAATTCCGAATTATTAAATCGAATATCTAGCTCATGCAGTAAAATCCGGGGCGGTTATGTTAACTTAGTTGTGTAAGTGCTTTACAACCGTTTTATATATATATATATATATTTTTTTTTTCGATATGAAAGTATCATTGACTATTAATCATCAAGATTTTTTGTTTTAGCAGCATGAACATCAATATCATTTCAAAGCATCAAGTAGTGTTGGAACCCTTTTTTGAATTTATCGAACAATCCTAAAAAATTTTATCAACAAGTTAAATTAATCATGTATTGTGACTCGATAGGGTGGTTTTCTTTTAAAAAAAAAAAAAAAGTACGCACATTCCTTTGAAGTCTCCGCATTACGCTGCATGCTTCATGACAATGTGTAAGAATAATATAAGCTGTCTTCTCAAAGGTTACTTTCATTTGTGTACAACTCAATTTTTTTTTCAAAAAACTTAGTCACCGAAGCAATACCTACTCCCCTGCAGTAAAAGTATAATGAAAAAATTTATATTTATTGTGGGGTTTTGTGGGGGGGAATATCTGCACTTGTCCTCAAATATACTTTTAATTTAACCTTTTGCAGCCAATCGTCATTATAAAAAATGTAAATATCTCTTACATTTCCTTTAAAGGATTTTCCAGTATATTTTTATTTTCCATTTTTTTTTTTTATTTATTTTTTTAACTTGTCAAATAAATATTTCTAATTTAACGCTCATTAATTAATTTATACTATTTATTCATTTATGTTTGTAGAGTAATAAATGAGAAATTTTTGATTTTTAAAGATTGAATTCAATCGATTCAAACGAATAAATCGACTATAACTTATAACAATGAAAATTTCTTCTTGTCGAGTTTACTATTAATAATATGCATCATATGCAATTGAAAGAACAATATCTTAAAGAAGAATTAAAGTAGATCACTGACTACAAATGTATACCCCACCGTCACCCCGTCTTGAAAGATAGTATTTTGAGTAAAAGATGAAATACAAAGATGTGGCTTTTATTTATATTATGCATGACTTTTGAACTTAAAATTTAACGCATGATTGAGGAATATTAAGTCAATATTTTGTTAATCTCTTTTTACGTAAATTATTTTTATGTAATACCAAAAAAAAAAAAATAATAATAATAAGAAGATCGTGATTAACCGTGCTTTTTGATACAATAACAAACAATTTATTTCGTTAAAGATATCAAAAATTGAATTTTCTTTTTATTTTTTTTTTTTTTCATTTTTTCATTTTTTTTATTTTTTATTTTTATTTTTATTTTTTTAATAATTTCAAATAGTTTACGCAATTGTGGGTCCGATCTTCTGGCTGATATGCATAATGAAATCCAAAATGGGTTACAATAAAGTATTCCCCACTCTTGGACAAAAAAAGCTCAACTCGAAAAAAAAAAATAACTGGTAATTTTTAACGTTAACCTTTTTAGAATTTTATTTTACCTTGCGGGTAATCAGGATGAACAAATTCAAAACCTCATTTGACGCTTGTCCCCAAGGTTTGGGCAAAATTTACAATGGAAAATAAACTTGTAAAAATCAAATTAGCCTTTTCATTTACAATTCCTTTTACAATTTTAACCCATTCCATTGTTGAATAATAATATGAATGCATTTCTTGCATTGTTCTCGTTAAACAAATCGAAAAAAATAAATTTTAAATTTTAACACTTTTTTCAAGCTTTTTTTTTTTTTTTTTTTTCCTTTTTTAAAAAAAAAAAATTTGAAATCACATTTGTCATTGTTCGAAATAATGAATGGATCAACTTGGAACTTTTTAATTTGAAATATTGTTCCGCAATTAGATTAGCAACGAATTTTTTTTATTATTATAAATATATGAATTTAACAAACTTTGATAATTGTCCTCCATTATTCGAATTTCATAAAGTCATCATCATTTTGAGATTGATTTGGACTGGTGGAAATGACGATGACTTGATGAATTCGGTTCAAAATAATGATAATTTCGAATTTGAAATTATAAATATTGATTAAATAAAAGATCAAATCAAATAAATATTTGGATGATTTGCATGTATTTAAAAGGCAAAGAAACCTTTGATGTCGCATTTTATCCTTTCACTCTTTCATGTTTAAATAATCATTCCTTTTCCTTCTTTATTCTATCATTATCATAATAATCTCAAAGGTCGTAGAATTATACACATTTTCAAATTACGTCTCTTGAGACTGTAAAATCATCATCCGTTCATAACAAGAATTTACAATAATGCAACTTTGAAAGAAGGAATCTTATAATAGACAAATTAATAAGACATAATCAACTAAATGCCAACTATAATATTAGCTACCTCGGGTGGATTTAACATGTACTGAATAATTACAAGGCATCATCGACCCAATTTATTTCACAATGTGGATGAAAAGGCCAAAGGCGATGGATAAACCTTCAACCCGATATGTCATTGTTAAGAGCGATCATAACTAAAAAAAATTATCATTTGCTTTATCAAGACTTTTGTGCAATAGCGGGCGGACATCGGGACATTTATACATCACACAGCAAAGACAATATATAATGCTCCAGACTAATTAAAAATATATTTGGATACTGTTTATTGGTGGCACCTCCATTTTCAGTTTTTTTTTCCACAGATATTGATGGTCGTCCAACCTATTCACAGGATTTTTTTTTTTTTTTTTTTTTTGATACGAATAATATACGACATAAGTTATAGCCTGAAAGATTATATATACCATTATTTTACAACAAAAAGTCTCTTATATACCTAATCCTGTCGTTCCGATATAGTATTTACCGTAAATTCATTCTACCTTGGACCTTTCATCCACATTGCGGAATAAATTGGGCTGAAAGAACCTTGTTTCTTAGTATTCTCACCATTCACTCGAAGTAGACATATTCTAGTTGGCATTTAGTTGAGTATGTCTAATAAATTTATCTAGCTATAAGTATCTTTCAATTTTGCATTATTATAAATCAGACCTTCAGTTGGGAATTTGAAATTATTATGAATTGTTTGATTAGGAAATATAAAATTTTTTTATTTGAAAAAATTGATCAATCATTTGTATTACATAATAAAATTCATTTAATTTATCATTTAAATCGATTCCTCATGATGAGACGATTCCTCGATTTTGATAATATTTCGATCGATCATAAAAAGTTTCATGATTATCATTTCCCAAATTTTATTTTTAAAACGCTAAAACCTGGGTACAATTTATGTTGCACAAAAAGATTTGAAAGTTTGAAAGCTAGCATTTCTGTGATATTTGCATTTTAATTTCAAAAAAAGTAATTATGGGTTCATTTTTTGGGGGGGCGAGGGCGTAAGGTTTAATCATGAGGAAGTTATTTTTCTTTATTCACTCCGAAACTCTATTGTAAAATAATATTTATTCATTCATTTAATACATCGTAATAGGCATAGCGTAAAGACACAAGCTAACTATAATCAAAATACATGGGTAGGTAATAAATCTAATCTAATAAATCTTAATATTGCCATACTAAAAGAATCTTTAAATAAAATTGAAATAATAAAAGAGAGAGAGGGTTAAATATATATTATATTCTATATGGGTTGGATGGGAGGGTTAAGCAATTTCTTAATTCTTAATTATTATCGTGCATTAAAGAAGTTTAAATATATTTGATTGAATAAAGGGTAAACATAGCAATGAAAAAATAGTGCAAGTAACAGCTCCTCGATTCGAAAACTGATTTTTCTTTTTTTCTTTTTTTTTGAGAACAACGCTTTTTTTTTTCTTTCTCTCTTCGAATGTTCTTGTTGAAACGTTCTTTTCCTTAATGGTATTAAAATAGATGAATTTTTTGTTGATCGTACCAATCGGAAAAAAAATTCATTTTGTTGCCAATTTGTAATAGCGCATAAATTCAGATGACAGCAACAAAACAACTTAAGCGAAGGATGTACCGTTAAATATCGAAGTAGCAAACGCATTGTCCGTATTCTGTGGTCCCATTTGTCGCATTCTCCTTAACATTTCAGCATTATTGTAGGTTCGGATACAACGACGATGCAAATTTTGAAATCTCTTGTTTCTTCGAATAATGACAACAACATTCTTACGACGTAAGGATACCATTTGTAAATGGAAGGAGGTTAAGAAAATGATGGTAAAGAATCCTTTTTGAATAGTTTATATATGAGAGAATTTATTTAAATTATGACGATAAATTTTGATAATTTATTTTTTTTTTCTTTCATTAAAACGTAACGATGAAATTTTTTAATTAAATTTTTGAATATTTTGTAAAAAAGTTTGAACGGACAGTTAACCCTTTTATAAGATTTATTTACAGGGAGTACGTTGAAATATAATTTTTACAACTTTTGTGATTTAGGAATTATAACATGAACGATTCAACATCTGCGCGCCTTTCTTACAATTGGTCATGCAAATGTCAAACTCCATATAAGAAAGAATCCAGATTTTGGACTAACATCGTTGTACCTATTGTTCAAATAAAATAAAAATAAAAATAATCATTAAAAAAAAAGTTGATTAAATATTTACTATTGACCGCTGTAATGTATGTCAATGTGGTGGTTCATCTTGTCTTTGTTTCAATTATAATGCATTCCGCAATTTTTGGTCTTCAATTTATCGATCAAAATTCATATCTTTATTAAAACCCATATTAGATAAATTGAATCTTATTTTAGTTTGGTATTATTTATTGAAGTACTTGTTTCCGCTTGAATGGTGGAAAAAATTTGCACATATCATAGTGATACCTTTGCCAAGAATTGGTCCAATCGAGTTTAATCTTTATTTGATTTATAATCCATTAAGTTAAAAAACCATTTTTTTTTTTTTAAAAAAAAAAAGAGCAATACAAGATATATTCGAAGAGGCGCAGTAATGTTTATTATTCATTTGTTGTTTAATAATAATAAAGCAATTGATAATCAGTGTTGAGATACAACATCAAATGGTCATACAAAAAAAGAACTTTTTAATCCAAAATTTTTTTTAAGACTGATGACAAATCAAAAGAGAATGACACAAATTCAAAACAAACAGGTGATCTATATCTCTTTACTTTTGATTAGTTGACTTTGCATTGACCACTTCAGATCGGGGTAAATATTGCAGCATCGTTAGGATGTCAGACACAAAATGAATTTTAATTAACTATTGTTAAATAAAAACTTTCGGCTGAGCGAAAAAATCATAATTTTACACAAGAATATGTTCTTTATTTATATATCAAATAATACTATTTTCTTTCTTTCATGAACATTAATAGAAGCTCTTCACTGGTTCAACCCACTAGAATTCTTTGATATTGGAGTATGTGCATCGGTCATCGGATGGCCTAGGAAATTCTTTTTTTTTTGTTTTTTTTTTTTTTCTAAACGTACGAATAATCTTTTTTTTTTTTTTTTTTTTTTTTTTTTTGTGATAAATGCTTTGATGAATCCTTAACAAGCAATTCCGTGATGTTCTTATTAGCCTATATAATATTATATCCAAAAATAAAAACATCCTTACGAATTCAGTTTATAATATAGTTATATGCTAGTCCAATTAGTAAGTAAAATAAAAAAATCTTTTATTTTAATCAAGAAAATCGCGGCAAAAAATAATCATCATTAAATGTTGCCATTCTTTTTTGTTCATAATATGTATGTAAATACAATTGTTATCCATTTAGTTTTTTGTAATCTGTAGATCAGCAAACTACATACTTTATTTTTTTTTTTTCCACATTTCTCCTTGTTTGTTCGATATCTCTTTTTAACTCGATTATAAAAAAATTCGGAGAAGAATGTAGCAATATCCGAATTGATTTTAGGTTTCGAATCAACAATTGCCGCTAGGTCCCCTGATATTTAAATATATTTTTTTTTAAGAGATTGTAATAGCTATCACGTGACTAAATTTACCAATATAACTGTTTGACGATTTCTGGTTATATATCACATGATATGGCTGTGGCGCGGCGGCTGCGCCTTGACGGATTATGTACAGAACTGCAATACTGCCAAAAAAATTATAAATACCCTTAAATCACAGAAGTTCGAGTCCTTTCAAGTTTCTGCACTGTGTGATAATAATTGATGAATAAACAAAAAAAGATATGAAATCACAATCTAATGATTTTTTTTCGCGGGAATTTGATATTATACTATAATGATTAATTTATCGATTAAATTATTTTACTATGATAAAAATATATATGGGATCTTTGCAATAGAAAGGAGAAAAAATCAATTTTACTTTTATATGCTAAATATGATTTTTAGGTCAAAATATATTCAGATCTAACATTAACTCAATTTTTATTTTTTCCAGCTGTTTTCCTCTTTTTATTGCAAGGTTCAATACTCTCAAACTCTCTCAAAAACTCTCTCAAACAAATTTAATAAAATTAAACATCAAAATACATCCTAATTAGATCCTTAGTTCAAAATATGAATGGTATAGTAAGTAAGAATATAATTTATATAATATTTAGTGGAACAACTGAGTGATATAAGATTTCAGCAAGGGTTAATATTGGAAAAAAATAATCCATTTGTCATTTATAAGAATAGTCTTTTAATAATTTTTATTATATATGATTAATTTAAAAGTACCAAAAGTTTATAATTCATTAATGGCATTAAAAACAATCAACTTTTTAAATTTGGTAGATTAATATTAACAGCTATTAGTATATTTAGAGAAGATACATTTGGATTATTTAAAAGAAGGTTAAAGATGCAATCAACCTACTTAATAATGTAAGTGATTACAGTTACTTAATGATCATTTTCTAATATAAATACATAATTATTAATATTAAACATTTTTATTTAATCCAGAAATTGAATAAGTTAAATGATCAAACTTATATACTTGCTATATATATGGTTTATATAAAGAATGATATGACTTATAAAAAGACATATTTTGAATTAATTGAATTGAAACAGGATTCTTTCACTTCTTCCTAAACTAAAGACTAAATAATAGCTAAGTAAATTAGGATTTTACAGTTTATCTTAATTATTAATCCTAATTTTAAAATTTCTAAATTAATTATAATAGTTTAATTTTAAAATTTTCATAAATCAATTACAATTAATAGTCTAATATTCTATAATTTGTTATAGTATTACATATTTCTCTTATAAATAAAAAGAAAATTATTTTGTAAATTTTATAATATAAATCTAATATTGACAACTTTTTTAATTTTTGTTGAAAGTATTAACAATTATTTTTACTTTTCTATTCAGAATATTGATTATTAAGACAAATTGTATTAGTATAAATAGCTTAGGTAAATGAAAAACTAATATAATTAGCAGGTATTTCATTTTATAATATATGATTCATAGTTACAAGATAAATTAATATGCTAAATTATTTAAAATAATTAATTAAATAAATATATATTATTAAATCAAAACTTGAGCTATACCAATTTTAAAAAAATATTCAGGAATAATTATTATATTTCGTCTAATCATACAAAATTAACTAATAATTTTTTTAATACAGTAAATATAAATTTCAATCTTAATGATAAGTAATTAATTATATATAATATAATATTTAATAAACAAATTTAAACTATAGTATTTTCTTTTGATTATTCTAATGAATTACTTTATAAAAAGCCTATAGGAATCAAAATAATTTTACAAGAGCATAATTTATGAGATTTTAGATTAAAAACTTTTTGTAATAAAAATAATACATTATTAGATAATCCAAATTATTGTACATATCATATTTTAGCTATTTAAGAGATTTTTTGTAATCAAAAACTATTATTACTAGGGAATAGTAACTATTCTAATCTGAAGCATAATAAGACATAATTTTTTTAATATTCAATTTTTAAAATACATATAACCAATAATGCAAAATTCTATTAATTGATTAATATATAGGATATAATAATATTGCATTTCTTTAACATAAAAATTGATTGTTCTTATATTTCAGATAATAAGAAGTTATTGAAAAACTTAAATACAAAGTAATTTTTTATTCTAAATTTTATTATAAGCTTAATTATATTGAAATATATTAAGATACTGTAAAATAATATACTCAATAATATTATAATTACACATGAAAAGAATTACAAAAAATAGTTCTAAAAGTATTAGATTTAGTTTCTTTAAAGTATATATGTAAATATATACAAAACTCAACCAAATTTATGAAATGCTATAAAAAAGTAATAATAAATTGATAAGCTATATAGAAGTTTACTAGAAAAAATAGAGCTCTAGAAATTTTTTAACAAAATATTATTTTTTATTTGCATTTTAATTTTGATGTTATTAGATTAAAATATAATAAGATTTTAATTTTAATCAAAATAATTTTTAGAATCTTATTTTTCTAGTAAACTTTTCATATATTTTTTAATAAAATATAAATTACATAGAACTATTTTAGATTTTATTTTTGATAATATTGATAAATTGATAAAATAAAATTTATTTTAAGTTTAAATTTTAATTATTGCTATTTTTAAAATTATGTAATCCCTTTGCAGATCATCTAAAAAAATTACTGAGATTTTTTAAGTCAAAGTAAAATTTTCTTAATAAAATAACTACTATAATAAGATTACTTATGATTCCCTAATGATTCTTACATTTTGATCACTTTTATTTCAAATATTTCTTATTTTATTTTTATTATATAATTTTTGATTAAAAGTTTTAATTACTCAATATTACTAACTTTTAGTATTGATTTAAAATGATAAATAATATATTTATATTATAATAGTTTTTATATAAAAAAAAATTATAGAAATACTTTATATAAATAAATATACTATAAAAAAAGTTTTGAAGATTTATAAAAAGTGGGTTATATATTTGATCTTTGACTAAAAAAAATTGAGAATTGTAAAACTTTCAATGAAAAAGATATGAAGGTAAGTGATCAGTAAGTATTTTATTATAAATTATTATATTTTTTAACAAATAAAATTATATAGATACTAAAAAAAATTGTAGCAAATAAGATGGATTTGTATTTAGATGAGTTAGTATTAGAAATAGAAATTTTAACTGGAAAAAAGTGTTTATTCTAACATTATAGAGATCTTTGCATTTTTGTAGTATTATTTGAAAAAATAAATATGACAATAATTGAATACTATATATTATATATTTTTAACTAATTATAAATTATGATAGATATTTATTTTTTATTTATTTATTTTTTATTTAAAAAAATACTATAAAATGAAATAAAGTTCTTTGTGATGCATTTATTATTAATATAAAATAAATTATACTTTTGATCAACTAGTATTCTTTGATAAATCTGCTAAAAATTAACAGAATTTATTACATGAATTAGATATCTTTGATAAATACATAAGAAAGGAAAAATATTGTATTTGTGTTTGATAAAAGATATACAATCTTGTTTGCTTTGTTATTACAAGGATTTATAGTCATTGATATTATAGAAAGAAGTTATACTAAAAAGAGATTCAAAAATTTTATTATTTTTGATATGATAAGATATTTTAATTTTAGTAATAAATATATTATAATTACTAATCAATTTTTATACTAATTAAATATCTAAAATGAACTCATTTTTTGATTTTAATAGCATTATTATTCTTGATAATGCAAAAATCCATCATAATGAAAGCCTAATTAAATATCTTCAAGCATTTGAAATATGTGTAGAATTTCTTTCATCTTACTTTTCTGATTTAAATTTTCTTTTTCAGTAATAAAAAGTTTTTTAAAAAGAAATTGTGATTATATAAAATATTTTAACAATTCAATTTATATACTTTTTATAGTAAGTTTTCATATCATATTTATAATAGTAGAAGGTTTTTTTTCAGGAAACTATATCTTTAAATATTTTAATTAAATAAAATAAAATATATATTAGTAAATAAATAAAATCTGTGAACACATCCCATTTTTATTTTTCTAGCTATATTTTATCAGTGATATCAGTATCACTTTTACTTCTTCAGAATTTGATATCGTGCAAATTTAAAAAATGAAAAAGAATTTTACTCTGATTTTTGATATGTAATTTTTTTATATAATACTTATTAGCTTTAAAAATCTTAATTTATAAATATATATATACTATCATAAAGATGTATACTATCATCAAATTTATTATAAATTTATTTATTATTACAATATCTTATTCATATTATTTTGCTATAGCTTTAATAGTTTTGCATCAGCCAATAATCTTTATATCTAACATTTGAAATTCATTATTATTTAAATCTTTAATATATTTAACAAACATATTTTGTTTATTAAATACATTAATAAACTATATAAAATTCCCATATTCATCT